TTTTGAGCAGGTTTACCTCCAGAATTTCAAATACCTCCACATTTATGAGCACACACAGAAGACACTTCTGCTAGAAGTGGCCGCAAAGCAAAACACATTCCTGAAGATCTAATCCTTAACCAAGGTGCTTTTGTTTTATTGTATGTTTTCTATCTGATGTTTCTTTCAGCTAAGTAGGAAGGTAGAATGAAAAGGTGTTTTGGATACTATGCAACTCTACATAGGATTGCTTTTGTCCTGAATGTGTTCTTCATCCTCTTTTCTCATTTGTCTTGATTTGCTCATGCTTTGTCAAACCAGTTTGGCCACTTGGATCCCCCTATCCCATAACTACCCAAATGCATCAACTAGGTGGGCCCACTCCAGAGGTTGCCCTCTTTTCTCTAATTTACTATTCCTTGATCTTATTGCAGCTTCATCCCCTTTCAAAGTCTGGACACTGTTTCTAAGAATCACTATATCCTGTCTTTGGCAGATGGTACATTGCATTTCTAAGTTGGTCTAGATTGCTTTACTGACTTGGATGATCTCCTTCTTATCTCAGGCTGCAGCCCTATGTGTTATTTGAATCTGCTTCATTAGCCATTTTCAGGCACATAGAAATCATTTTTTAAAAAAAGATACAACTGGTATAGTGTATAAAAATGGAACATTCCAGCAATAAGCCAGCTGTCATCATCTGAAGTACAAAATAATGGCCATTTAACTGTAGAGGAGTGACATGATTGGTCCTGGAATCATCTAAGGAAGTGTTTCTCAACCTTGGGAACTTTAAGACATGTGGACTTCAACTCCCAGAATTCCCCAGGCAGCCATGCTGAATTCTGGGGAATTCTGGGGAATTCTGAGAGTTGAAGTCCACATGTTTCAAAGTTCCCGAGGTTGAGAAACACTGATCTAAGGAATTCTGTGTCCGTGTCTTTCCAAATTTAATGCTTGTTTCTCCAGAGTTTTTCTGAACCATCTATTTCCACTTCACTTGGTTCTCAAATCTTCCTTTTGTATCTGCCCAGCCATAAACCATGACTTGTAAACTATGTTTCTTGCTTTAGAGTTACTTTTAACTAAAAGCAGGGTATTTTTAAAATAAACAATCAATTGCTGGGTTCACGCAACATGTTAAAACAAAATTAAACAAATCTTATTATGATTTAGTATGTTGAATGAATGTGACAAAAGGTTACAGCAGTGAACTATCACTACTCTTATAACAAGAAAATGCTATGGATATTTATTATTAGGAGAAGATCTTAACAAGTTTAAATAAAATGCTTTTTAAATCATGGTAGTGAGTGAAAATAAATAGCTGTCAAATATATGAGAAATAAAAGCATTCTTTAAAAACAGTTTGAGAGATATGCTTGCTTTTATTAACCTATCAGGCAAACCTTGCTGAAAACTTCCAGTCATATTTCTTTAATAACTCAATAATCCATGCTCCATATAAAAGACATGGTATCCACAAATACTAGATACTTGGAAAAATTACTCCATTCTGCTGGTCAAAAGAAAAAAAGCTCTATTGTTTTGACCATAAATCTATCATGCTGGGCACTTTCTAACTTTCCTTTCCCCACTGGTGGAAGGGGGGATTTGCAAGCAAATCATCCTGAGATGGTATGAATGGTGCTTTGCTCGAGAGCCTGGGGAATTGTTCGTTGAGTGAGATCACCAGGCTAGTCCAGGCACTGTGACTGAGTGATCACGCCATTCCAGTTTGAGTCCTTGTGATCTGGTTACTGGATGCCCAGATTAGCAGAGAATGCCTCCTGTTGCTTGCATCTCTTTACTGCCCGTGAATATGACAACAGATAAAGCAAGGCATTGCTGCCCCCGTTGCCGTTGCCTATCCAGCCTCTATTGTCTTGGTGTCCCAGGACTCTGCTAAAAGGTACTGTCCTGATTGTGTGTAGTCCATGATAAAGAAAGCAACTGGATGATTCCCCGATTTTGCTGCCTCCCCTTTCCAGCATATCTCCAGCTGGTGGGACAAACATCCCCTAGTCAGCATATCAGCGGGAATGGAGTGGTTTCATTGCAGGACTTGGTCTGCCATTTCTAGTCTTCTTTTGTGCCCACCCCCATGTTGTGAAAACCCAAGCTGAATAAGCTATAAAACCACCACCACCACCACAAAACAGGGTTGTTGCTTGAAAAGATGTATCCTTAACAGCCCCTTGCTGTCTGATGAGTTCTCTCTTAAGTATTCACAGCATGTTCTCAGAATTGCAGAGCCTTTCAGGCCCCGATTCCGGACAGGAGCTGCCACCACATCGATAGAGTGCCAATCCAACCTTGGTCAGTTGTGTTCCTCCGTTCCTTATTCTGGGTCCACAAAACTGAACTCACTCACAGATGCCTGAATCCAATTTTTTGGCAATAAAAATCCTAAGGATCTAAGCTCTCAGGGTCTAGCACTGTAAGCGTGAGTGACAGAGACCTAGATGAAAGGTGACAGAAACCTTATAGAGCTGTGAAACGCCACACTCCTTTTTTTATTACCCTTCAAATTTTCTGAGTTTTAAAAAAAGAAAAGATCTGAATCCTAGCAAAAAGGCAAAGACATCTTTTTGTTTGACAGTTCAAAAAATAATTAATCTCTTCAATCTAAACAGTCTAAGATTAACGTATGTTTGAAAATGTTGTTGCTTTCAATGGTGGTAGGTTTCTGGTGTTTTTTTTTTTTTTAATAAAGCTAGCAATAGGACCTGATTCTCTGTTCTCATACTTCCATGCTACTATCTAATACTCTCTGTGGTCTCTATCTCAAAAAAATTGAGCCATTCCAGAAACAAGCTCTTACAGCTGTAAATTTTCCAGTGAACAGAGCTTCACGATCATGACAGAGGAAGGTCAGAGAAGCCAACCGGGGGAGTGGGGGGGAGAATGTCTTCAGGCTACCAAAGAACACCCCAGCTTGGTTGTCACATTTCTTACGCTACTTCAATGAAAACTTCAGAAATTCACGCATGCATGGACATCAGTTGATCTCTCGTATGTATGTATGTATGTATGTATGTATGTATGTATGTATGTATGTATTTAATCAATTTATATAGCCGCCCATCTAACCACAAGTGACTCTGGGCAGCATACAACAAAGCTAAAAACAGTAAAATACATTAACAATGTACTTGCATTTCATCAGTAAATATTTGGGGCTGCTTGTCCTATTATTATGTCTCAACTGTGTTTACATAATACAGCATTACTTGTACATGTATCCCCTTCCCCAAAAAGCATGACACAATGTGATATAAAAGGCATATGATAAACCCAGTGATCTTTTAATCTCAGAAAAGAAGTGACAGGATTGTGGAATTAGACTACTGCATACACACACACACACACAAAAAGAGAAAGAAAGAGAGAGAGAGAGAGAGAGAGAGAGAGAGAGAGAGAGAGGCATTGCTCACTGTGGCTAATGTTGCTTAACTGAAGGGATCATTCTGACAATTGCTCAAATATATAAAGGACTGCTATGCTGCAAAGCTTGTACCGTGATGACTTTTGGGTACATATATACATTGCTTCTTTTTAGAAATATTGGTTTTAAATCAATGTGAAATACCTAATTGTGATATGCAGGCTGTGATGGCAATTTCACCTTCATTGATCATCAACTGATCTTGAAAACAAGGTGATAAACGTGTACATGTGAACAGGGCATAACAGTGTCCTGAATGTACCTTGAATGTATTCCTTATAGCAGCTGGTGAAAATATTAGGTTATTCATCTTTTTCACCAATCAGACAAGTTTAACTTGAACAGCTCAATGTTTGGTTCAAGAGAATTTAATGCAGAGACTTAATATAACTTTTAATCAGAATTTTAGCCAAGTCAAATATCTGGATGCAGATTTTTAGTGCACCATTAAAAAAATATGCTGAAGATTGAACAAATCCACTTAAAAAGAATAGTAAAACCATTCCTAGATATTCTCCACTGGAGAAAAATGAGACTTGAAAATGCTTAAGTGTATCTGAAGGATTTTGTAAAAGTCCAGAACACCATGAGATGTACGATGAAGAGACTGGATGTCACCATCTGATACGGCTGCATAGCACATTCACATTTGTGTATTTTCTAGATCGCAACTTTTTTGAAATTGAAATAGCAACCCCCCCCCCCCCCCC